AGTGGATGGCAGCCGTTCACCAACCTAATGGCCTGAGGGCAGAAGCTGCTTCTCAGTCTTGATGGTCTGGCTTTAACACTCCTCTAGCGTCTGCCTGATGGTAGGAGTGTGAAAAGGCTGTGCTGTGGGTGACTAATGTCCTTGATGGTATTATGGCTCTCTTGGCGATTCTGTTCTGGTAAAGGCTGTCTAGTGCTGGTAAGGCAGTTCCAGTGATGACTTGGGCCGATCTCACTACCCGCTGCAGAGCCTTACGATCCTGTACTGTGCAGCAGCCAAACCAGACTGTGATGGACCTGGTGAGGATGCTCTTGATCGCAAACCTGTAGACGTTGCTGAGGATTTGTCTTGACATGCCAAATTTCCTCAGCAGCCTCTTAAAAAAAGTGCAGACGTTGATGTGATTTCTTGACCAGTTCTTTAATATTGGGAGACCAGGTAAGATGTGAACACCCAGGAATCTGAAACTGCTCACTCTTCATCGCTATCCCACCAATGCACAGTGCTGAGTGCTTCTCCTTCCTCCTCCTTATATCAACAATAATCGCCTTAGTTTTGTTGACATTTAGGGAGAGATTGTAATCCTGACACCACATCACTAAGTCGGCCACTTCTCTACCATATGCTGACTTGTCACCTCCCATTATCAGTCCAGTGACTATCGTATCATCAGCGAATTTGATGATGTTGGTGTTGTTCTGGGAAGCTACACAGTCATGGGTGAAGAGTGTGTAGAGCATGGGACTCAGCACACAGCCCTGCAGAGTTCCTGTGTTTATGATTATGGTTTTGGATGTGTGATTCCCAATTCTAACTGTCTGTGGTCTGCCTTTTAGAAAGTCCTGAAACCAGCTGCAGAGGGTGGGTGGCACACCAAGGACATAAAGCTTATTGGTGAGCTTAGATGGAACCAGCGGGTTGAATGCTGAGCTATAATCTATAAACAGCATTTGAACATAGCTGCCCTTGTTTTCCAGGTGTGTGAGGACAGTACGTATTGTGGTGTTGATAGCATCATCTGTTGACCTATTTGGTCTATATGCAAACTGAAGAAGATCCAAGGTGTCTGGAATGAAAGTCTGAATGTAACTCATGATGATTCTCTCAAAGCAGTTCATCACTATTGGTGTCAGTGCAACAGGCCAGAAGTAATTGAGGCAGGCTGCTTTGCTGTTTTTAGGCAGTGGAAGGTAGATGGTGGTAAAAGATTGTTAGGCTGCAATAATTAGGTCAACCGGAACTGGGAACACTTCCCATAATACCCAATGTACTTGTTACATGTACTTGTTGCCTTGCTCAAGGGTCTCACCTCAGTCGTGGTATTGAAGGTGGAAGAGAGCGCTGTACATTCACTCCACCCACCGACAATTCCTGTAAAAACCATTAGGCCACAACTGCCCCACTAGATCAGATGGTCACTGCAGTCATCCGGATCCAGACCAGATGGTGGATCAGCAACTAGAGACGACCTCTAGAGCCCTGAATCTGTCTTTTCCTTTTCCCATCACATATCAGATCGGAAAGGCATTTATTTTCAATAAAAATAAAGGAAATATTTTAAAAGTGGAAATAAAACGCCTCATTTATAATACAGTGTTTTTTGGTTAGCGGTAGGTGTAGGGAGGGCTTTAATAAGTTTAATAAATATGATAATTTACACAATATGTTACTGCATACTGTTTTATAATGTACTACTGAGGTATAAATATATGCATCCTAACTACTATTTACTATTTACTCTTAACCTATTGCTAAAGAAAATACAGTGTAAACATAATTTATCATTATTTGCACTTATATGTCGCTTTTTCCAGTTAACTGCAAAAAAGAAAATAATATCTTTGTTCAGTTAAAGACAGCTCAGTGTTGATTCAAAATGTAAAGTTCATTAATTATTATGTAATGAATTCAATTGGGCAATATAGAACTGTTTACTAGTATGAAACCCTATTAACAAACAAGCCTTTGTAAAAGAATGGTCAGCACGTTTATTTGTACGGTAATAGCCTCCACAGCTGTGCTGAATTAAAGTTCAGTGTTTGTCATGTGTAGCCTACAACCCTGAAACATCATGTTGCTTATTGTATACTGTTTCACAGCTATTCTTAAAAAAAATAGAAGGCAGTATGCACTGTGTACTGGGCAGTAAGCAGTAAGCTAGTGTGCCATTTCAAACACAGCCAAGGAATTGTGACAACTGTGGGATTGTGAAATATCATGTTGATAATTAATGTGATTCTGTACACCTGTGGTTCCTCTGCTTGGACACCTGTGTGTGAATCTGAGGAGAACTGACCTCATAATTCCACTAAAAATCCAGTGATTATTAGTCATTGAGCAAATATTATCTTGAAGAGTGAAGAAAAGATATCCTATAGCATTTGACACTTGCTTTGATATTTTGTCAACTATGCAATTAAATTAATATTCATATTCACTTTTTCAGGCCGCTATGAAGGCTTTAAAGGTGGGGTAAGAGATTTCTGGTAGCCAATGTTGACATTTGAAATCACCAAAACAAACACGCCCCTACCCCAAAAGGGTCTCGCCCCTATTTTGATAGCTCCGCCCCACACATACGTATGCAACCCAGGCAACGATTAGTTCTGTGAAACAAAGCAAAACCAATGTTACACCGTGTCTACACCGGACGCGAGTGGCACGGCGCGACAAAATACTATGGAACTCATTATAATCCGTTATGCTGTCTACACCATATAGATATATATACATATCTATGGTCTACACTGGATGCGGCACGACACGACAAATCCCTGACAGAAAACTGCTGCTGCGTTCTGTTTATGACGTATTGACACAAATTTAAAATGATTTTCAACGGTCACTTTTTCGCGTCGTCAGTGTGCTAGACAGACTTTTAGCTGTTGCGGCGCAGACACGGGGTTACTCACCTATCGAGAAGAAACAAAGCAACCTCGGCGTCCGATCGCAGGCCTTCCACTCCTTGAGTTCTCTCCAGCGCTGGAAAGCTGATCCGATATTTACACGGGTCCTAATTCTTGCCTTAAGCCTTCTTTTGTTCCGCAGATGTTTTCCTCTTTTGTTTTTTATCCGCCATCTCTATCTTTCTGTCGCTCGGCTCGGCTAATGTCCGTCCCGTGCACTGAACGCTCTCTCCTCCACATCATGAGTAGACACGCCCCTTACTGCTGATTGGCTACAAGTTTGTTTTGCTAGTCGGCCCGAATCAGTTTTCTAAAGCGTTTTTGAAAAATCGCTTACCCCACCTTTAAATGTGTGTGAAATATTGTAAACTAGGGCTAGGCAAATAAATACATTCTTTAGTCTTAAATGAGTATGTTCTAATGTAAATTAAACATTTACATTTTGATGGCAACACTGCAAACAGCTCAAATATTATATATAAAAATAAAAAGGCTGTATTTGTGTTATGGTGTTTATAAAATGCCTGTATTAAGACAGTTTGCATCATATATTCATTATTCATCAAAGTCGTTGTTTTATGTGCATGAGGGACATGCTGTTTTATAAACTGACCAATAAAAGCACAGCCAACCCAGCACATGAACACCGCGGATGTCTTTACTGTACCTTGTCGATTCTCGTTCAGCTGTTTCTCGAACTCCTCGAAATCTGACATGCTCAGACCTGACGGATCAGGCGCTCATATGAGCAGTAATAGCTAATAAACACAGCCGCTGCACTGATGACCAACACTATAGAGCTCCCGCTTGACGCGGTGGCACCATGTGAAGAAAACGTGTTTGTTTAGGAAATCAATCCCTTTTGATACAAAACAGGGAAGCTTCTCTCCGCTGCAGGTCTGGCGTGTGGGCGGGTCTAATCGCTGTGGGCGTGTAGTGCGGTCCTTCTAATTGGCCGAGACTGCTGTCAGTTACAGAGACAAGCGGGTACGCGTCTTGCGATTGGTCTACAATTTTGTTACTTCGAAGCAGGAAGAAACAAATAATTATAGCTGTTTAACTACACAAACGGAGGTTTCAAAATTACGTAGAGAGTATAACTCATATCTGGTCATGCTACTAAAGTTCCCATAGCAATTAATCGCATAAACTGTTTTCTAGAGGTTTAGACCTCAGTTAAACATAAATGAGCTAATTACTATAAAAGGTTACATAACACCTTCTATTTGTAATAGTAAAGCTAAATCTGAGGATAAATATGTAGGCATATATAGCCCAAAATAAACTTGTAGTTTCAACCCCACATAGAATACCTTAAAAAGATGTCTCTTGCATGGTCGTCATTAATCCCAAAGCAAAAATTCTACAATAATCACCAATACTCCATCTGGAACAAGCAAAACATTTTGTATTTAATAGACAGTAAACATTTTGCTATATTAAACATTGGTTAGTGAAAAAAAAAGTGCTTCAGATATTTACAATATCACAGTATTCTTTATTTCTGGCTAAATTTAATTTTCCAGTTGCTTGTATACAAGAGGCTGCAAAATTACCAAACCCCTCAAATGCTTCTATAAAACTCAGGTTGGAATATTTTGTTCCATCTTCAATCATATAACATTAGAATTATTAGATCTCTTTACGAAAAAAAAGCTTGTTACAATTGCATGTTTTATCAGTAACTAATCATGTAAAGGGAATCTTTGCATTAAGAGGAAAAACATATTTTAGAAAATCTTCAAATTATACAGAGAGTGACATTTAAAAAAAAAAACTAATTTGCACATGATCAAAGCTGACTGCTACACCTTTTCTTCCAATGAATCAAGAACTTGTACTTAAGAACATGTACAATGAAAAAAAAATGATGTAGGATTTACTTTCAATTTGCATTTTCATTCAGAAATTGCAAGTACATTTCACAATTACTTACAAAGAAACAGCAATAACACATTGAATTAAAAGTGAAAATCTGAGATAGAAAGAGTGAAATAGTATTTTTGTTGTAAAACATACTCCAGTAATCTTTGTTTAATTACAACTCATTTTTCACAGCATAATTCATCACGAGTGGTGTGCATCCCTTAAAGACAGGAATAGAGTCACATGGTTTAAACTGGTTACTGGTGTTGTGCTGATAAATGAAAAGTATTGCGATGTGATCTGTAAAAATGTAGACACGTCAGATTGTAGATTTTCTTCAGTTGTTCTCCAAATTAATATTAGGTCAACTTTAAGCTTTTGTACAAATAATGGGTAATTAATTGGGGTTTGCTCAGTTTATATTAAAGTCAGTCTCAGTTTAAAGACTCAAGCCATTTTAAGCTTTACTTCCAACTCAACAACAGTTTCTCAGGCGGCTATGTATACAACATAGGACGGCTTCAGCTGTGAGCTATTAAAAGCACTCAAACCCTGCAGTATTTCCATGTGTGTGTGTGTGTGTGTGTGTGTGTGCTGTTCAGAGTTGTGCAGTGAGCAGAAACACTAGTGAAGACGATCACAACCACTGATGCCTAATGCTAAAAACAGACGTTTTCATCAGAGGTGCTTATGCTAGTGGTAAGTGATGAAGAATAAATACCATTTGAGCACTGTAGTTGTGTGGACTGTATCTAGTTGTGTAGATTTGAAGTTCTGTGTTTAAAATGTGTTATTTCAGTGTTGTTAATAATGACTGAAAATTATTTACGTATGTATTTATTTATTTTTTTGGTTGTTTGTTTCTTAGTCAGTCCTGCAATAATCCATATTTAGGATGAGAATCGTTGGCTAATTCTAGGCTGGAATATATTTAGAGCTTTTCTCAAATGGTTTGAACATGAAGCCATGAAGCTATCCTGATAGACTTCACCCTGTTGAAAAAAACAGCATATGCTGGTTAGGTATGTTTTGACGCTGGGATGCTGGTTTAAGCTGGTGCTTTGCTGGTTTATGCTGGTCCTTTGCTGGTTTAAACTGGGGTTTCAATTTGTAACGTTACAAGTGGTATTTTTTAATATGAAACATAGACTTTTAAAACATATATATTATAGGTAACCTAGAAATGTGCTTCTCTAAATAAACTAGTTTTATTAAGTTAAAAACATTTTTTAATTTGACTGAATCATCACTACATTACTGATCTACAAAGGCAAAATGCATTAACAGTTCAGTTATAATCAGGTCTCATAATCTGTCCTGTTATAAACAGGTTTAGCTAATCTAAACTCAGATTTTCATATAAATCAATGAATGGCTTTATAAATATCTTTAATTCATGTTAATGTATATACTTTTTTCCATTGTTTAAGGTCTAACGTTACTGAAACCATGGGTATAAGTGACATTATGGTAAGAAACTGTGTTTTAAAAGCAATTTGAAGCAAATTGTTCAAAATTATATGACCCATTGAAAAATCATTCACTCTTATGTTGTTCTAAACCAGTATGACTTTCTTTTTGTGGAACACAATACAAGTCAAATGAACTACCTTGATGGTGTTTTTCGACCTTTTTGGAGCTTTGGAGTCCCTGGTTGTAATAAAATTCCATTCTGTGGAAAAGAGTAGGACATTCATCAAAAATATATTATAAGTCATACTGGTTTGGAATGACATTGGGGTGAGCAGATGATTTCTCTGTAATCATTCCATTAAGCAACTTGATTTTTCTGTTTTAATGTCTTATTCAGAGGCTGGATGTGACCTCAGTTTGGCTTGTGCTCTCAGTGGTGGCGGTCGCAGCTGGTGTCTTTTATCTCTACAGTCTGATACTCAGGCATTTAGCCAAGACAACTGTGAGGAACAAAGTGGTGCTGATTACGGATTCGCTGTCAACACTTGGAAATGGTGCTTGCTCTTTCAGAACAACTGGATCATTGCTGGCATGCAGTACCTTTGCAATTCTGTAACTTAAAAATGAATATGCCTATACTGTAAATTAAGGAAATATTTCTATAAAAGGGTAAATGAGACTTTTTAGAAACATGATCTTAACTTTAATAATTACATCTGGCTTCCCTTACGAAAAAGAAGTTTATTCAAGTGTGCTATTAGTATACTTCTTTTAAACTAAAAATAGGAA